AATCCCATTTGGATCTCACTGAATTTGAGATGCCTGTGTGCCATCCTGGTGGAGGGGCTCCAATGGGCAGCTGTGCCCAGAGCTCCTGGGGAAGGGTGGGGCAGGAGTCAACTGCATCTGTGTGGCACAGGTAAGGGATTGCACAGAGCATGCTGTGAGGACATGAAAAGTGACGAGGAGCCTGGGCAGGGGTGTGACTCAGGACAGACACAGGGAAGGGGCAGGCAGAGAAGGCAGGCAAGTAGGTGTGATCTCCATGGCCTGTGTAATGTCCTGGAGCATATCTGAGGCAGAAACCTGGTCAGGGGCAGAGAGAAGGCCAAGGACTCAACCTGGCCCCACCCTGGCTGGTCAGGTGGATGACTACTGCAGATGCACGCTTCAGGCATTAACCTGTCCAGGCGGCCACGGTCTTCCATGGTCCGAGCATGGATCCTTTTGCATGTATACACCTGTTGGAAGCTAAGCTGGGACATCTAACACCCCAGGCTGTCCCATGGTGCCTTCTCCACTTTTAGCTTTATTGTGACATTTGGGGGACAGTTGTTCTTATTTTGTCTCACTGAGTGGCAGATACACTTCAATTAAAGATGGAAAATCATCAGGCACCTGAAAGCCATGGATGCAGGCCACAGGTGGGTTGGTCATGGCCCTGAGGGTGTGGGATGGGGCATTCAGTGGTGAAGAAAAGGAGATTTTAAGGAACATTTAGGAATGATGTAACTGTGCCTCAAAGAGGGCGTCCAAACTAGGAAGACATGGGAGGTCTCTAAATTGACAAACGAAGGATCAGGACCATCTACCTGGAGCACAGGATCAGCCACCTCAGGAATGCTCGGACGCACTGGGACAAAGATGACAGAACATGAATGAGGGTTTCTCACGAGATTCCTATTTCTTGACCTTGTTTACGATTATAGTCAGCCACTGTGGGCATCTGGCCCTTCTTCCCCACTGCTCATGGTGTCCCCCTCCTTCCAGGGTCTCTTACATGGTCTCTACAGCCTAGTGAAGTATGACCCTCAGTGTGTGGATGGTGCATCCTCAGAGAGAGGAAGACGAGTCTCTCACATTCAAAGCACATTATGTCACATAAACTGATACGGTCACCCCCACAACACACTTTTTCTTTTCTCATGGTACTCGGGATTGAACCCTACTCTACTACTGCGATGCATCCTCAGCCCTTTTTCTTTTGACACAGAGTCTGGCTAAATTGTTGAGGCTGGACTCGAACTTGCTATCCTCTTGCCTCGGTCTCCCAGTCACTGGGATTATAGGCATGCACCTCCATGCCCAGCAATTATGCCCTTTCTTTTTGAATGTGCCTGAGTCTCCTTTCAGATATTTGTATTTGATATATATATATATATATATATATATATATATGTGTGTGTGTGTGTGTGTGTGTGTGTGTGTGTGTGTGTATCTGACCTATCCTCTGTAATTCCCTGTTTTAAAAATGCATATTTAATCACCTTTTGAATGTATATTTACTTCCTTGTTTTCCAAGTATACACTTGAATCACATTCCAAATATATATTTCAAGTGTGTTCATTGTGAGGTACAAGGACCTCTCTTTACTGTGGATCCTAAAACAGATCTGCAAGATGACAGTGGTACAGAGAAATTTGTGTGACCCCCACAAATCACAGAGAACCATAACACATGGTCTGAGCCACATCCAGCGTCTCTAGAGTGGGATCTCCTCTCACTGTTTCCTGAATACCTATTTTTTATAGGAAAAATATAAAAGTCATATTCCAAAACATAAATTAATAATAATGACAAAGAAATTGCTGATCCAAGTGCAATAATAAGAACAAAACTAGCTAAAGGTTAATGAATAGTTACCAAGTGCTAAGCACAGAAATAGCTCAACTCACCTTATAGAACCTTATGTACAAGCTGGTTATTGTTACTCCCATTGATAAAGGAAACAGAAGCTTAAGGAGAGTGAGTGGCTTATCAATGGTGCTGTGGCCAATTTAGGGTCAAAGTCGAGACTGGAACTCCGACCTGTCTGCTTCTAAAGCCAGACTCCTGTCCTCTGATGCCCCCGGACATGCAGAGCTCTGAGTGGACAGCCAGGTCATTACCAAATCCTTCCTCCAGCAAGAGACTAGTGTTCACTTTTCTCTTGATTTTTAAAGAAAAGTTCCTACAACCCCATCGACATTTACACCATAATGTCTTCTTCTATCTTCTACAAAATCCCTATTGAAAATTCAGCAAGTCTTTATTCTCAACCTGGAAATAAATTCCTCCTGTTTCCTAAAACAAGAGATCAAGAGATGGGTAGTAAGAAATGACCCTAGAGCTGGGCGCCATGGTGCACACCTGTAATCCCAGCAGTTCAGGAGACTGAAGTAGGAGAATCGCGAGTTCAAAGCCAGCTTCAGCAAAAGTGAGGCAATAAGCAACTCAGTGAGACTCTGTCTCTAAATAAATACAAAAGAGGGCTGTGGCTCAGTGGTCCATTGCCACCCTGACCACCTCGGGCAGCCAAACTAAGGGTCGCTGAGTGAATTTCCTAGGGCACCAGATAAAACACAGACACTCAATCTACCTTTAATTCAAGCCCCTGGATGGCTCCTCTGTCCTCAGCTTCACGCCCCCCAAATGGGAGAGCAAGGAATGTCACGAGAGGCTGGCAAGAGAGAGCTAGCACGTTCAGGAGTGGACTTTTATTGGGGGAACTCTCATTCTGTAGAAATTTCCATCCAAAAAAGGTCAAGAGGGGCAGGGTTACAAGGACAGGTAAGGTAATTCAACCCCTTGGGCTGTAGGAAGGCACACCTATGCATGAAGACACATTTTGCGACATTCTGTGACTTCCAGGACGGCCAGCAGTCTAGGGCCATATTGATGTGGCCAGATCCCTGGAAGTGAAGGACAGAGCCTCAACCGATCAGGAAAGGAAAATGCTGATCACTCAGCACAATGGCCTCCCACAATCCAATGCCCCTGAGTTCAATCTCTGGTACCCCAAAGGGGGGAAAAACCCTAGAAATTTAATTTTTATTGTTGCTATTGTTTAATCCATTTTTTAACTTTTGCATGATTATGAAAAATTTCAAACATACACAAAACAGATGGACTGAGGATGTAGCTCAGCGGTAGAGCACTTGCCTAGCACGTGAAGGTCCTGGGTTCAATATCCAAAACCACAGAGGAAAGACTATTTTACTGGGTGTGGTGGCACATGCCTGTAGTCCCAGCTACTGGGGAATCTGAGAAGCAGAATCCAGG